GTTCAATTGGATGAGCTTGCTAAAGCTTCCGAGGTATGTTTTTTTAGGGTTTAATTTCGATTTTTGATTGGTTTTTATGCAATGTTTATTCAATTTTAATGTATTATATTATTGGTGAAATTCAAGAATTTCATAATTTTGTAATTTTGATTGTTGTTAATATTTTGTAAAATGAATTTGAAATTAACATGCAATTTTATGTTTTGAATTGAGCAGGCTATGCAAGATATGAAAGACTGTTATGATAGTTTGCTTTCTGCTGCTGCTGCGGCAACAAATAGTGCATATGGTATGATGAATTTTATTTTCTTTTTACACTTTAATTATTTTGTATATAAATTATGAATTAATGTAGTTAATTTTGCAATTGTAGCACAAAATTATTATGGAATTGTGTGTATAATTTTTTCTAAAATGATTTTTGATGTTCTTTAGAGTTTTCTGAATCATTGCGTGAGATGGGTGTTTGCCTCCTTCAGAAAATTGCATTGAATGATGATGAAGAATCTGGTGAGTTTTCGAAATTCGATTTAAATTCGATTTGATTTTCGATTTCATGTATTTTGAAAATATAGACACTGGCTTAGTAAACCTGCATTTCATATTAATTAGCTTTTCTTATCAGAATAACATCAGTTCTCTTTTCATGCTTAGCAACTGATATTAACCCTTGTTAAATTTTTTTTATTTTTGTTCCTACTTATGATATATTTCTTCTTCTGTACTTCCTTTTTGTGTGCATAATAGACTAATTTCGATTAGTGATTGTTGATTGTCCTTCCTTTAACCCGAATTTCATTACTTGCTTGTAGGTAAAGTGATGTTGATGCTTGGAAAAGTGCAGTTTGAACTCCAAAAGCTTGTTGATAGCTATGTGAGTATAGTTTGTAATTTGCAGAGGGCATTCAATTTGACAATATATGCATCTGGTTTTATTTTGAAGATCACTAATCTTGTCCTTTTACTTTTCAGCGCAATCATATTTTTCAAACAATCACGGTTCCATCAGAATCACTTATAAATGAGCTTCATACTGTGGAGGTTAGTTTGTTTTGACACTACTTTTTTGTTTTGTTTCAATTTTTATTAATGTGGTGATTGTATGTGTCACAAAATCACAGTTAGTGTGTGTCTGGTGGTTTTGATTAGTACTATTTTAATCTTTGTTGGTGCTAATTATTGTACATTGACACAAGATTAAAACTTTATCCTCTCTTCTTTCAACTTCTTGTTCTGCTGGAGTGCTGGTTACTTTTATTATGGAATGTCGCCCTTGCAAAAATATCTCTTGCCTCATTCAGCCTTATTGCATTGAAAGGAGGACTTTCTTGATGTCATTTTTTGATTTGAATTTGACTGTGCCTGATGCATTGTATTTTAAATTGTATTGCAGGAAATGAAGCATCAATGTGATGAGAAAAGGTGATTCTGTTTTAAGGGTTTGAATCTCCATTCTAACCATTTTTCGCATTTAATCAAGTAGCCCTTAAACTCGTGCTTTGGGTTTTGCAGGGATTTATTTGAGTACATGAGAACAAAATACCGGGAGAAAGGAAGATCCAAAAGTGGGAAGGGGGACACTTTTACATTGCAGCAATTACAAGCAGCAAAAGATGAATTTGATGAAGAAGCTACCTTGTTTGTCTTTCGTTTAAAATCTTTGAAACAAGGGCAGTCCAGAAGCCTTCTTACTCAGGCAGCACGCCACCATGCTGCTCAGGTTGTTATCTTATTATTGAGCTATTTCTTTTTTTTTTTTTTTTTTTTTTTTTTTTTTTGGTGCCATAGTTGGTTTTGACGTTTGATTTATGTTTTTGCTGGCAAACAGCTATCTTTCTTTAGGAAGGCGCTTAAGTCACTTGAGGCAGTTGAACCACATGTGAATTTGGTGACTCATCAGCAACATATAGATTACCAGTTCACTGGCCTCAACGATGATGAGTCAGAAGATGTTGAAGATGATGATGACAGTGAAGATGATGTTAGCAGCACCTCTAGCATGGAAGATGAAGAAGAGTTGAGATCCGATTATCAACGTAATGATCGGCAGCTCAGTTATATTTCTGCTGCAAGAAGCAATATGGAGGTTGGTAGAATTTTACTAACTTTTGGCTGAAAGAATCTCCATGCATTATCCTTTTCTCGTCTTTCCAATTGTCTGATGTCATTTTTGAGTTAAACCTGTTAATCATAAAAGAATTTAAAAGCAAGAATAATACAGATTATGGTGATCAATTGAATTTTTTTATGTGGCCTAGAAGAAATTTTAAGGCTAGCCTCACCCATATCTCCTCCCTTATTCTCTTGCACTCCTCCATATCTTTTGCTTTTCTGCATACTTTAGAGCTAGGAAGGCTTCGCTTGTCACTTTCTATTTTTTTTTTCTCCCCCATATGGTTCTGTCTTTTTGAAACACTTGCACAACTTTATAACATGGTTCATTTGTTTCTGTCCATTGTTTGCTTGAACATTTTCTGGTTTCTTTCTTTCTGGAGCGTGTTGCATGGTTCACAATGACAAAAGATCCGTTGGATTAATGTCAGAAAAGTTTGTAATTTGCAGGGAAATGTGAAAGCTAGCTATGAGGATTCTTTTATAAGAGAAAAGAAGATCCTCAGTCAATCAGCCCCACTGTTTACTCAGCGGAAGTTTGAACCAGCTGAAAGGATAAGATTGATGCAGCCATCATCAACAAAGAAGTTCCATTCTTATGTTTTGCCTAAACCAGGTGATACAAGACGGGTTTCTGCTTTACAAACCAAGGCACTTCCTCTGCATGCTGAGAATTTATATCATTCATCTCCTCTGGAGCCGAACACGTATGAAAAGATTGTGCGAACTGAAACCTTGTCTGGTCCTATCATCCTAAGCTCAAAGTCAGTATTGAAAGAAAATAATAACATCAGAATGCCCCCACCTTTGACTGAGGGTATTTCAGCGCAGCTGCTGAAACCTGAGATCACATTGAGTAGCAAAAAACTCAAATTACAATCCTTTTCTGGTCCTTTGACTAGCAAACATTTGTCAACTAAGCCTTCGTTATCTGCTGGCAATCCTGTAAGTGTCACTGGTGCTCCGCCATCTTCCTCCGGACCCATTTTTAGGAGTACTGTACATCGATCAGCATCATCCCCTGTGATATCTCCTACTACCTCACCAACTTTCACCTCTCCGAGAATAAATGAGCTTCATGAGCTTCCAAGGCCTCCAGTGCACTTTATATATGGTTCTGGCAGACCTTCAGGCACTGTTGGACATTCTGCACCATTGGTGTCAAGAAGTTCAGAGAATTCTGCTGCTAGTAAATTCTATTTGTCTAAGATAGCATCCCCATTACCCACTCCTCCTCGAATAGGTTACTACTCCATGCCCTTAAGTGGTGCTGGAGCAGCAACAAAATCACCACCTTCCAGGCCTTCGGAAACCTCACCTGTTTCAGAGAAGACGGGTGATATTTTCTCACCTCCTTTGACACCAATGATGTTAGAAAATCAGCATCCAACAAAAAGTTGATTTCTACCATCTTGTAGGCTGCTTTACCAGAGGTAAACTTTATCTTGTTTTCCTTTCTGAAAGTTGTGCTTCAAACATTAAGAAATGATATATTAGATAGCATTGTTGCTTGGATATTCTTGAAGTTCTTCTATATCTATTTATCAAGTATATGAATCATTATTCTGACCAAAAAAAAGAGAGCGACTATATGCACCTGTATCAGGGCTGTATACAATCTGGATGAAGCAAATTACCTTATATCCAAAAGCAGACATTAAATTTTATTATTATTGTACTTGCGGTATTTTGGCTTTTCACTCCGAAACTTTACCACATATTTTCATAGTTAGAGGACAGTATAATTCATTTAACCATAATGCTTTCAAATGTTATTGAAAGTTTGAAACTTATACCTTACTCAATAGCTTATGAAATTGAGTGTCTTTTACAATAAAGGAGAAATATATTACAGCGCTGTCCTTGTGAAATTACAGGTTTTAATATTTTTTTTTTCTTGTATAATGTTGGGTTTTCACTGCCCTTGTGAAGTTGTAGGTTTTAATTTTTGTTACCCTAGTAATATGTTTGGCTTTTCACTGCACCACATTTTCTGTTAATTGCAGAGGACAGCACAATTAATTTAAAACCTCTTTGCCATTTTTGCTTTCAAATCATAGTGCAATCCCTGTTAAATTAATTTAGAATTTTTTTGCCTTTTAACCCAGTTGCTTGTTGATGATGAATCAAATATATGTGCAAGAATTTTTAATTTGCAGCTAAAACGGAAAAAAGCTATTCTTGCAGCTAACTAGTATCTTGTCTATTTTGCAGGTCTTATGCTTAGTTTGCACCTCCTACTGAGCCTATCTGCTCGTAAGTTGGCGCCTAGAAAATCACAGGAACAAGCCCCTGTATAGACTGTGCTTGTTCGTGATCATAAAATGCATACAAGCTGGTTATATTGGTATTACAGCATGTTCGTTTGTAAAAGAGCATAGATTATAATATATGGCATAGAAAATTAGGAGATAATCTGCTCTTCATTGTTATATGATATATATAGTTCTTCCTTATGGTACTCAGCAAAAATTAGGCCTCTGTACATGGTTGCATAATTCTTTTGAAAATTACAATACATATATTTGTTTATAGGAGTATTATTTAATTTGTAATAGGAATTTCCCAATTTTTGGGTATTTTTTGCAGAATAAAAAGTTTGTAAGATGAATAGATGATATTGGTTAGTTGCTTTTCAGATTTCTCTGTACATCCAATTTGATTGTTTGAACAAAACCAGTAGATGATAGACTATCTAGACAAGTCTTAAGAATATTTTGCAAATCTTGCTTATTTGCGGAGAAAGTTTATGCTAAGATCATGGAAATTTAATGCAAAGGACTAGCAACCTTTGGTCAGTTAATCAAGTCTCTTGTATTAACTTTCTTCGTTCTGGAAAAAAAAAATGCTACTCTTCATTTCAATCTGATCACTTCCTACCAAGCAACTCTGTAACAATCAATTTACTTAAGAAATTACAATGCGCTTTAGTCGATTGACCATTCCGCAAACAAAAGTCTTTTCATGCATGATGCATCCGATATTACAGAAGATACGGAAACAAGCAATTTCCGAGAGGTTCCAACCAATTAGACAATCTACCTCCACAATAAGCTTCCTTACAAAGGAATGAAACCAGTTACAAAACAAGTAGTAGTAGTTCTGAGGGTTTACAGATATATTACATTTGGGGACAAAACCGAACTCAAAATAAGGATTCATCCAACATTCGAGTCTCTGTCTTAACATCAGACAGAGAATCCTAAGGACTATAGCCTGTTGTTCTCCCTTTTTGATGCAGTATAATGTTAATTATCAGATATTCCTACTACATAATCGCTGTTTTTGCCAAGTAATCTTGCACCTCTTTCAAATTTCAGTAACATTCTTTGCTGGAGTCATATCGCACAAACCCGATCAATTCCGGTCCTTCTATCCTGGGATTGTTCACAAAACTGAAATAGACACAGCAGGAAAACAGACCTTTTAGTCAGTCCAGCATGTAAAATACAGTAATGGAGATTTGCGACTTAAAGTAAGAAGAACGTAAACTGTGATCACCTCTCTTCTGTGAACTTAGAGAAGGAACCAGCTGTTGGAAAAGTACCACACAAGTTATTGTTTGACACATTTCTGCAGCCATCAAATGAAGATTGTGAGAATACAGTTTTCCCCCTTAGAGAGGTAAATACAAAGTGTATGATTGAGAGGCATACAGGATCTTAAGGTTTCCGAGCTTGGTAAGCTCTCGGGGGATTCTTCCTGTCAGATTGTTGTTGTTCAATCGTCTGCATACGTGAAGAGCCATCATTAGAAGCAGCTTAACATCATTACAAAAAAAAATACAATGACAACGTAAAAATGAATCACTTGATTCATGTCAAACTGTGTGCAGCATAATGATCCTTAATTTATACTGCAACTTTGATAAAACTCCAAGCACGCATCTCATGCTTGTGTTTGCATGAAGATATTCATTAAAGATGGTTCCTCGATTACATTAAATTTTCATCTTCGGTAAAAATACAGTTATACAGATTACAGAACAGAAAGGAACTCGTTAACAGTCATTTCAATGCTTACAGAAATTTTAGGTTGGAGAGCTTAGACAGTGACGAAGGAATTGGATCGGTAAGATTATTGTGAAACAGATCTAAGCTCACAAGGCTCTTTAACCCACCAAGCTCCTTTGGTATATGGCCTACAAAGTTGTTCGTGTACAGTTCCCTGACAAAACCGCACCAAAGTATAGTCAATCGATTAATTAATCATGCATAATGACGTACTAATTGCTACCTGTCTCAGCATCAACTTATATGGTACTAAGTACTAATTAACATAGTGGAGCCTCAAATTATCAAGAGACTGGTCCAACATTTACAGTGCTCAACTTATGGGTGGTGGGTAGGTTCAAATTCCATCCAAAACCACATATCATACTGATAGTGAAATAACATTAGTCATGTTTTGTCATTAGTAACATTCGTAAATAAATTAAACAAAAAAAATTACCAAGTTCAAGTCGATACAAGACTAATGCATATATAGAGTCGGACAATAACTGTATTTATCTTCGAAAAAGGATTAACCCGTCTCTAATCGAATTATTTTTTTCACTCCAAAATCGCCCTTAGAGTAGGTTTAAAAATCGACTCTCATTAGTCTCATAGCATTCGATATAACAATAACATAATAAATACATAATTACATCCTTTACCATAATTCCTCGAGAATCAATATTACTAAAGAAGTAAACTTCTTTTTAAAAAATTTGACAAAAATTAAAGTGGTGAACTTAATAGAAAATAAGAAAAGAAATTTTTCAAAATTTCTTTAAAACTTACTTTATGACAATAAGGAGGTGAGCATGAATGCAGCAAGAGAAATTTTTCACAAGTCAAGTTCAGATGCAATAAATAAGTTGACAGTTGAAACAGGAACTACTAGATCTATCACTAAGAATACAACTTAAGAGAATTTAATGAGAATAAATAGCAGAGAATTATAAAATACCATTTAATGTTCAAAATATAGATAGGTAGATAGCTCTACTGTAAAGTCTGTAATTGATTGAATTTAATTAGATACATAGGTCAACTAGATTACTTGTCATATTAACTTATTAAGGCAGTACTTATTGCTGCACAAAAAAAAAAAAATAAATAAATAAATAAATAAAACTTACAAGTATTTAAGGTGCTCAAGTTTTCCCAACTCAGGAACCAATTTTCCTGATAACTTTGCATTTCCAAGATCCCTGTTATCCAATGATTTTACACTAATCAACAATTTGGTTACAAGTTAAAGGAAAATGATATATATAGCCGAGTAGCCTATATATAGCTAAAGGCGGAAATATTAAGCTAAATAAATCATTATTTATACCAAATGACGGGTGATTTTGTCATTCATTCCAAAGTTTATACCAATTAAGGTAATCAGCTAGTAGTATTAACTCAAAACATAGGAATATGAGTATATGACCATTATGTTGTTGATATTAGGGTCCAAAACTCCAGTTGCAGGGAATTAATCAAACTTAAGCATACAATATACGGAATAGAATGACCATATGTTATATCGTCTCTAAAAGTTATTCCTGTTTTAGCGATGATTATTACTATTACCCGACAGAAAAAGTTAAGACACGAAGAAAATTTAGAGACGGAGGGAGTACTAAGTACGAGTAATTGATATTAGGAAGATGCAAAGTGAAAAGAGAGAGAAATTACAAGCGGGTGACCCGATTATGATGGTCACAGGTAACATGAAACCAAGTACAAGGGTCAACAAGGGTCGGATCCCAACTCTGCAACACATTTCCCGGGTCAATTACTGACCTTCTCAGAGCATACAGAGCATCCCCTGTAAAATTACATCAACATTTATTTTTAAAATTAATAACCCACCAAAAAAAGAGAAACTTTATTTAAATTTATTAGTTCATTTCGTTAATTAAAATCAAGAAATAAATTTTATGTTAAATTTGAAATTAAACCCAGGAATGAAGAAACAAAAATGAGCAGAACATACCTTCTAAATTAGCATGAACACAGAAAAGTGTTGATAAAATTGAAAGGAAAGTGATTGCAAAGAAAGTTAGAGAATGAAATTCCATTGTTATAAAACTTGAAGGTGCAGTTTTAGAAAGTGTGTTTGAAATCACGTTGATTGTGTGAGAGAGGGGCGAGAAAGAGAGAGAGAGAGAGACAAGAATGTAAGTTTGGTGGGTTGGGGTTCAGTGAGAAGTGAAAGTGTTTGTTTTGGTGAAGACTGAAGAGGAGAAGAGAGGAGGGTGTTTGTGTTGTTTTGTGTGTGATTTTGGGGTTCGTTAATTAATTATTTATATAGACTCAGGAGCATTTTATAGAGCCCATAAAACATAATGCCTCCATTGGATTAGCTCTCTTTCACCTTTAATTAAGTGGTGGTAAATGGTATAATCGAGCAACTAATACACCAATACTTGTATAAGTTGTATTAGAGCTTTAGGGCCATTAGGGGTGCTCAAGTAAGGCACTTTTCCGCTCTACTCTACTGAGCTCTGTCTTAGTGATACATGATCTGTATTTGAAATTTGTTCTGTTGTGCTAAAATATTGCTCTGCTCTACTCATAAGCTCAAAAGAACAGGGCCTATTGTTATAACCAGCATCTTAAGTAGATGTGAAAGAGCAAAAAATAAATTTAGGTACTGTATCTAAAACTTTAACAGACTTTTTAATTAATGACATCTACAATAAATTTAATACAAGTATACTAAATTTAAGGGTAGGCTATACATAGTCCTTAGGGTTACATATAAGCATTAAAAAAACTCTTATAAATTGTTTAAATTTAGAAAATCGTAACAAAAACACACTAATTACATTGATCTACACGTATTTTTGACATGAATATCCTAAGGGTATGTATAGCATTACCCTTAAATTTATTATATTAAATAATATTCCCTCATTCTCTTTATTAAGAACTTATTTGGATTAGAGAGAGAGAAAAAAAATAGTTGAAATTAGTTGAAGAAAGGGAGAGAGATAGTGTTGGAAAACGGTATTAGTGTTTGTGCTTCTCAATTGATTTAATTGTGATAAAGGTTGGAGTGGTGGCTTCATTAAGTTTCAAACTTAACTATAGGCTCTAATAAAATGTTATAAAATTATTTCATTCTAGCAATATATACTCGTATATGGTGTTATTAAAAAGATGCGTTAGGTGATACATAATCGACCACATATTTAGAACTTAGAAGGTCCCATTTCAAATTTCAATATAGTACTAAAGAGTAAAGACTTGTGTATTTGGTTAATGACTTCTAGTTAATAATTCGTGCAATTGGTTTCATTGACCCAATTTATGGTTATTGACTCTTTAGTAATCAAGTTTTCCATGATTTATACTCCGTAATTCACATGACCCAATTTATGGTCTATTGACTTCTTAGTCTTTATTTGTCCATTATTACTAGAATGAAGTAATTTTATGTACTTAGTTTAGGCTTTTTTGACTTCTCAACAAAGCCATACTTGTGGTTATAGAATAGGTTTATCAGCGAAATTGTTATTAGAACTCTATGAGCTTAACATCCATCTTGGGATATTATAAGATCAAGGTGTTACTTAATAACCCATAATGACAAATGAATTATACTACATACTAAAGTATGAGATAAAAGTTTGATTGGACTATCAATAGAATAATCTTAGAATATGATCCAACCCTATGAGAAATTTATACATTATATCTTAATCCATAGTGCTATATTGTAAAAAGAAAAGGAGAAGAGGAAAGAACAACAAAGAAAAGAAAGGGAGAAGAGAGGAGGGATAAAATGGGATTTCATTTTCCTGCACAATAATTCCAATTCCCTTTCCTTTCCTTCCCCTTTCGGGCCTATTCTCATTTAATGAACTAGATTGAATATTTTATGAGAGAAGAAAATTAGAAATCAAACTGTACTGAATTGAAAATAAGCTGAAAAGAACAGACCCTTAGTCGATAAGTCATATTCAAATAAGAGAACATAAATCCTTTATCAATCACTTTTTCACCCCCCGATCTTTTTTTCTCTCTAAGTTATCCGATCTAGAATGAATTCATCTCTTTTTAAATTCCATCTTTAAATTCTCCAATTAACATTTATATTGTGGCAAGTCTAGTAACTTAATATGGTTATTGAACGACAAAGTAGGCTAATAATGAGATGAACCGTATAACAAGTTGATACTTGAAAGAGTTTGGTTGGGAATAATGGACATGAAAGCTGTTTAAAGACTGAATAAAATTGGTTGTCTCTTGGTGCAACTTTATTCACACCATTTGAAAAAAAATGAACTTGTTTAAAGAAATTAAAAACACGTCAGGAAGAAGATATGCATGGGACGTACTTGTTGGTGGAACAAGGGAGACCAGTCCATGAAAGAGTTGGTACAAGTACAACGTACAACACATTAAACAACACTTTTCAAATCTATGCCCATCATAGTTTTTTTTTTTTTTTTTTTTTTTTTAAGATAAGATGAAAGACCCTATTGAATTACAGGTTTAACCAGGTCAATTCCGCAGGTCAGCGCATCAAACTAAGGGGGAAGTAAGGAAATTTCCCTACTCCCAAGCAATTTGTAATTAGTGGGGCTCGATTTCGATTCACTCGAGCTTGTGACTTCAAAATCACAAGATAAGTTCCCTACCAACTCCACCAAACAAAGTTTGGTTTACACCCATCATATATGTACTTAAATATTTTTATACTTTGCATAATTCTTTTTTTTTTTTTTAAATGTAGATAATTTTATTTTTGGAGTATTTAGGAGTCCTTTTCTCCTCCTTTGGCACTATATGGCATATCGCATATGCCTAGCTATATGACATAGGGAATAGTATACCCTTGGTTCCTTACCATGTTAAACAAGTCAAGCTAAAAGAAGAATTATTCTATGATATATTGGTATTGATTCAATTCAGAATATGAGGTTAGTGTAATTAAATATTAACTATAAGACACAACAATACATATACTTACATTTGACATTTAGTATTACAAGATAACTCGTGGAGATATTCTTCCCAAGACAGTGATAAAAAGGTATCAACATAGTTTGTATATTAGTTCTTTTTTCTTAAGAGACCCTAGCTCTTGAGTCTTGAGGGGTGCTTTAAAATGATATTCTTTATCTTTTGTATTGTAAAAAAATTATGGACTACTTCCTCTGTTTTTTTTTACTTGACCTGTTTATTTTATCATGCTTGTCAATGCAAAACTTTAACGGTCAATAACTTTAATTCTCCATAATTAAAAAATATAAAAGTTATATATTATGATAGTACTTATTGAGACGAATTTAAAATGATCCAACATGAATATGTTTTTCTTTACATATTATTCACAAAACACGATCAAATGAGGGATGATGAATAGTGTAAAAGTCAAAGCGGGTCAAGTAAAAAAGAACAGAGGAAGTATTAAATTATAAAGGGTCCAAAACATTTGAGGATGGTTTTTTTTTTTTTTAATAGCAAAAATATTTTATTAATTAAAAGTCATACGACATCTACAATATAGATTCGATGTAAACAAATACACAAGATATTGAATCAAACAAAATTTTCCTTCATAAAAACTACGATCGTCGAGTAGATCTTGCAATGTGGAACATCTCCCGCTTATATCGCTGGAAAATACAGTCTTGTTGGAGAGACAATCTAACGATCCTTTGTAGCCGTGAGAATGTTTTTCTTCTGATTCATCTGTCTGCATTCGAAAACTTGATAACTTTTTCACCAACGAAATAATTTTACGACAATCCATTAGATCTAATATCATGGATTCAAAACTAAGAAATTTCTCCCCTGAAAAGAGGAGATAAACCTTGTCTTTCGAAGGAGGTTGAAAACCCTTGTCTTTCGAAGGAGATCGGAAACTCTTTCTTTTGAGGGAGAAAAGTTCCTCCCAAAAGGAAGAAGCATTATTATAAAACCTAAAAAAACTTTAAAGAAACTAGGATTGGGGCTTTCCCGATGGAAACCCCTTTAAATTTCAACAATGGAGGCTAGGGTTTTGGAGAGAGGAAGGAGAAGAGAGGAAGTCGGTTCTGTTATATTTGTAAGATTTGAGGATGGTGATATTACTGATATACATAGTATGTAGCATGAAATAGATGGATTTTACATAAATTTAGGGTCTGTTCTCATTGACTGAACTCAGCTGAACTGAACTGAACGGAACTGAACTAAGCTGAACTGAACTGAACGGAACTGAACTGAGCTGAACTGAGCTGAGCTGAACTGAAGTGAATTGAACTAAACTGAGCTGAGCTGAAATGAACTGAATTGAGCTGAACTGAACTGAATTTCAACGTAAGAGAACAAACCCTTAGAGAATCGTCTTTTCTAGATGTCATTAGTGTCATATATTGAAAACATCGTTTTGTGCTTCTTGTGAGTCTATTGAATTCCAACACTTAAATCCCGTTCAACTTATAATTAAAATTGACTTATTTGATATATTTGTGACATTCTGACATCATTTGTCAGTAAAATATGCGTTTGTTTAAAGCTTTTATAGTCATCCTAAATCACATAAAAGTCAACTTTATAAAGAGGTTACTTTAATTTTGTATACTTTAAATCACATAGTATTATCTATTGTATGTGAAACATATTGTTCAGCTTAGTCTAACTGAACCCGAACCTAAGCCTGTGCACATAAAATTAGGTGCTAACAAAAGGACCCTTGATGGGCCAAAATGTGGGCACCTCTAGCAAGTGCAAAAAGATGATGAGTGCATGTGAAACTCGTCTTTTAATGTTCTTATTCAAATTAACACCGTCCCCTTGGATCAACATTTGTCTGACCTTATTATAAAGATATTATGTTGCATTACATTTCATATGTTAACTTTATTTTTATTATTATGTTCTTTATGAAAAAAGATTGCACTTTCTTGTGGAGCAGACAAATTACAATGAGAAGATAGTGGGTCAACTAATGGAAAATACGAAATTAGTTTGACCAACTATGTAGAATTTGTTCCTCAAAAGAGGTGACTTGAGCACTATATCAAAAAAAACAAAAATAAAGTTTTCTTTTTCTTTTCTTTTCTTTTGTGTTTCTTGTGTTGCTCCAATCAAAGTTTTGAATTTTGATCAATTACAAAGAGGCAAAGTTAAAGGTGCATTAATCTCTGGAAAGTTTACCTTCTTCAAACCAAAAAGTTTTCTATATAAGTTCACCATCAAGTGTATAATTACCTTTGCACGATTGATGTTAGCTTTTGTTCGTAGTTCATCATTGCTCATATATGCAACTTTCGCGCCACGAATGTGTAAGTTTATTTGTACTTATTATACTCTCTCCGTCCCAAGTTACTCGCAACGTTTTGACTTTTTGCACTATTCACACATCTCACTTTGACCATCTTTTTAGCTATTGTATAAAGGCCAATGTAATCATGAAATATGTTGTTGGCTTTATTTGAATGTATAGTTTCTAAATATAAATTCTTTATAGCTTATATAGGTATATAATAAAAGATATTAACGGTCAAACATGTGCATCGGCAAGTGTGTCCAATCAAAATGTTGCAAGTAAACTGGGATAGAGGGAGTACTTTATTATCATTTTGGTTTTCATGAGTTAATGTTATATATGGAGGGAAAATTCGAACTAGAACCTAGTTTGAATTTATGGTAGATATTTTTAAGCTAAATTTGATAACTCTATTATTGATTTATTTAAAATTACTGTTAACAAAAAACCACTATTAACCCTTCCTTAAAAAGAATGAAAACTATTTTAATCTAAAATAGCAATTAGATGCATGTCTAAATTACTTAATAAATGAGTAACAGACAACTATTTAGGCTGGGATTATACGGAGTAATAACCTAGCTAGACAAATATATTTCTCATCCTTTTAAATTAATCTCTTTGTCTATTCTTTTGTACTGTATGCTTTTAGTTATTACTCGTATTGGATAATTTTGAACAAATAACTAATTTTAAAATGAAGCCAAAGTGTTAATAAGAATATAGCAATAGTTCATCAAAGATAATCATATTTCCAATATAAGTCAAAGCCAAAATGAAAAATATAATTATAAAAAATGAAGCTCAACTTAATTTAGTGCATTATTTATCTTATATATAGGTAGTATACAAGTATTTTTGATGATTGTGACAAATTATATAGGTCAAAGCTCTATAGATTTGAAAAAAGAATATGGATAAAAGCATATAATCAGCCTGCCCAACATATATAAATGAAGATTATATTGGAATAATAAAATAAAAGTCAAGGACAAATCTCTAATAATCGTAGATTCAAAATTAATGATGAGTAAATGACCCATTTGTTCAATGTAAAGGTGAACCAAATTGCAGCAAATTATCCAAGGAGAAATAGAATTTGAAATAGGAAGTGCATTTGCTTTTTGTAGTAAAGTATAAAGTGATATTCCCTCATTTTAAGTTTTGTTGTTTCCATTCTTTCTGCCTCTGCCCGAACATTTTTTCTTGTGTTGGTGCTCTGACCTTCTACATTCTTCCATTTCTTTTTAAGACATGGATGAATAAAAGTTTAGGCTTTTCCTCAAAGGAAGAAAAAAAAAAAGATGGTTTAGACCTTACATATAATGTCCGACTATAGTCTCATGTGTTGCACGTTTTTGTTATTGCTCTATAGTCTATATGACTTTTTAAAATGGTAGTGTATTCTTAATATTTTGGAGAATGCTTGATCACAATTTCAATATATTTGTGAGAAAGATGTCTTGAAACTTTGAGAAACAAAAACAAAAAAAAAAAAAAAATTGATGGCTGATTTGACTATAATATGACTTTGTTTGTACATTAACCCACAAGGAAAAATTACATGGAGTATCAAATGAGGCTTATCGAATGTGTTAATGTATATTTTTCAAAGACTATGTAATTTTCATAATTTTTTTGTTACATAATTAAAGAAATTTAGTATGTATAGTAATTAAATATCACACATAAAACCAATATATATGATGCAAGGCTTTTTTTTTTTTTTGTTTTTGTTTTTGTTTTTGTTTTTCCTGATTTGATATTTAACTTCTGTTATACAAAACTTAAATTATTATGGAGTACTGTAGAAAGAGAGCACTAGGAGAAATTTATTTGAAGCAGTTTTATATGGGCTAAGAGCTGTGGTCCAAATCTCCAACCAGCCTGTACAAAAGCAAAGAAGCCCAAATTCTATGAAGACAGTTTAGATTTCCATTCAGTAAAGGCCCAACCTACATTTATTTATATATTTATTGACAAAAGCTAAACCAGGATTTTTATTATTGTGGAAAATATTGTATGCACCTGTTTAACATGTTTTTCCTTCAAAGAAAAAAAAAATGCCATTATTTTTACTCATATATGCTAATCCAGTAATTTATATACAAGGATGTTATTTGATAAATGGCATTGCTTCAGTGTAGTAATAGACTAATAGTCTTGGTTCTTGTATGGATATCTACAACACTTCAAGATAAATGGAAGCAATATCATATGTCAACAGTAATCATGCAGAACTAGAACTAGTAATCTAGTACGCCTTCCCAATTAACGGAAAGTTTTCAGTATAGACGATGGAGAGCCAGTATCCATCTGCAGTCTACGCGATTGAGTTGAATTAAGTGTTGCTTATACAGAACTGTAGGCGATCCATGAAATTCTTAAGAGTGAAATGGTTTGTGAAAAGGAGAGAGTAAGAAAATAATTTAACCTTTTGATCTTGTGGATTGGAACACATGAAGATCGTTTAAAATAGACGAGGTTTATAGTGAGCAGTAGACACTTACAGGTACCGCAATGACTTTCAGATGCCAAGAACCGATTTAATGAGCCCTGATAGTCAACACTATCAACAGAGATGGAGTTGGTCTTGATGCTTTGCAATCAAAAATCGAATTCCTGAAATTGCAAAGTTTGTTTTGTGACAGTTTCTGGACTTGGTTAACCAAGCATGCAGCCATTAGAGATTATGCAGTATTTCCCTTACAAGGAGGTCCTGAAAACTGCAATCTGCAAGTTCTTCTGTTCTATTATACCAGGAGTCCAGGACTGCTGAGTGTTTGATAACTTGTTTGATAAGACATCATTTTACAATCTTTAAGCAGTCAATTCTATGACTTAGACTTCAAGAATAGCACCAAGAAGCAACATAACAGCAAATACCAAGTCATAGATTACAGTGAAGCCTTTATTCTTGGCTAATCCACCTGATAAGCACAGAACAATTATCCAGTAAAAAAAAAAAGCTTCTTATTCGATCAAAAACTTGAGGGAAAGATGGAAAATCAAATGCAAGAATCAAGGTATACACAGGCAGGATTTAATCTCTGCCTTCTTTCTCTCTGCTGTAGCTTCTGATAAGAAATTATTCTCTCATGCAGCAGAGCTGATTGTTTAAAATAAAGACATTCCAAATTAGTAAAAAATATACCGAATCAACTACACCTATTAGGTTCTTACAGCTAGGGTTTCTCAAATGATAATGTATTATAAGGTTGTTTAAAACCATGATAATTCTAACATGACATTCTCCAGCTTTAGCCAGATGCATAGTTACAGTTCATATTATCAGACTATTTCCTTTTTCTTGCCCCCGTTGATTCTGACATCAAAGGAATAAAAAAGAAATTTTCAAGTCATGCTTACCAGTATGGTAGAACAGCATCATATCTTTGTAATCAGCACACCCAGGCCAAAAAGCTATGCTGCTAAGACTCGACTGCAAATATCCAAGTTACCTGAAAAGTGAAAACTTGGACGCGCTATTGGCTTGGAAAGCAGCAAGCAAGTGTTTCAATAATGTATTCCATAGGATATCGCCCAAAAAAAATGTATTCCATAGGAACTTCCACTTCAAAGGAAAGCATTACTATGATCAAAATTTCATACAAGTCATTCAACAGAAGTTATTTTGTTTATTCAGATTCTACTGCTCTTAGTAAAGACTTTCTTTTCTTTATCATAGCTTCTTTTTTTTGTTTTTTTTTTTTTACAACTATTACATGGCCGGTATGGGAGTTACATGAACTAATAATCTCATCTGAAATGTCATCATTCTATGCTAGAAGCAACAATCGCATAGATAATGATGTAGTAGACAAAACTGATTTCAAAAATGGAAGAAAAAATAGATCTCCACAGCAAATTCAAACTATTTACACATTTTCGGACTTATTTTAACCGGATGGAGCACCATTGATCTTCACAAATCGTCCTTTCACTCTTTTTCGCGTATCAGCCCTTGCCTTCCTCGACTCATAACGTATTTGCTTCTCATATCTATTCATTCAGGAAAATCGAAACTATTAAAGGGATGCACAGACAGCCAGGCCAAATTAAATGTTTAAAGAACAAGAAAAGTAAACGAAGGGTAAACATGTACAAAGTGCACCTTCTTGTTTTCTTCTTCTCTTTGTAACGTTGCATGGCATTGCTTCTATTCTGTGCCAGCATTTCCATGTCAGCCTCTGTTCTGACTGTATTAAGTGCATTATCGCCTCCAAGAAATACAGATTCCTCCATAAATTGAATATCTGTGGAGCAAACACTTTTAGGTTGACCAAAAAATGAACCCGAAGATGGCCCTATGATAGGCATATTATTGCCCTCTGATGTTGCTGGACCCTGGCTTGCTGCTGAATTCTGCATGTTACTCTGTAGTGACAAATCACAGTTTCAGTAACATCACAATTAAACAATTAAGAGTATTATATAGCTAATTAATACAGATGGAAGAATCTCCTAAAACACTAACGAATGTAGGATCAAAAGGTAATAGATTAATCATATAAGAATTCCACAGAGAAGGATAATGTTTTTTATGAAAGCTGAATCAAATAAGTTTAAAAATGCAGTGACTTTGAAATGGCTATACAATGAACCTAATAACTGCAGTCCAGAAGGGGATGACTTACATTAAAAATTCGGATATCATCCGGAGTGGTGGAGCAATTCATGTCATACATGTCCCCTAAGATCTTTGAATTTGCCAAACCAGTATCTTGTAGAAGTGAGTTGTAGCTGTTGATCATAAATCCCACATCACTTTCACGGTAGCCACCATCTAATCTTCCAGATTCTTCCTGATCTCTCATCCTTCCTGAGTTGAAATCCCATATCTGCAAAGTGAAAATACACATGATTATTCATTTGAGCAATTGAGTAATGAAAAAACAATGTACTATTCACACTCATCAAGTTACCAAACAGAAGCGTAACACCAACACAACCAATAGAAATATCCTAAATACATTGGACCATAGCTACCAAAGATAATCGCATCCTCTAGGATTCCTGAGATGCGACTGATGATCAACAGCAAACCAAAGCTAATCAATGTATCAAACTCAATTTATATAGCAGGCAAACTGTGAACTTAAGTCTAATCACAAACAGCTACTATAATCTAATACTCGCGAAGGTGACAACATATTAAAGCTAATCAAACTTCATTTATTATAAATGGCACATTGTGAAATCTAACCACACCGGCACACCCCACTACTATACTCTAATACTTGCAAAGGCACACAACAAACTAAAGCTAATCAAACTCAATAAACTCCAAATATAACAGGCGCATTGTGAATTCTAATCACAAACAACTTAAACTCAACTATATAAATGGCACACTTGAAGTCTAATCACATAAAACTACTATACTCTGATACAAACAAAGGTGTACAACACATTAAATAATCAAACTCAATCTATGTAAATATCATATCATAAAATATAATCATAAATAACTACTATATATACTCTAATACCTACTTGGTCATCCCAATTCATTACTTTAACAAAGCGAGGAAGATAAAGGGGGCAACTTTCTAGTATGTATGTTCTTGGTATAACTTATAAAATCTCTCTTTGTTTACAGTTAAAGATGAATTCTTGAGTACTCGAAAATTACAGTTGAATGCTCAACCATTCCAAAAGAGAGGGGCAGGGGCCTCATACTACATATATATACTGAAATCTATTCACTCAACACACACACACACATACATACATACATACATACATACATACATACATACATACATACATACATACATACATACATACATACATACATACATACATACATACATACATACATACATACATACATACATAAATAACATCAAAAGGTCACAAATTAAGCTGAAATCGGAGCTCGATCTCATTAATAAACACATAAAAAACATCCTTACTAATTCAGGCAAGTTAACTCAACATAAAGTGTATTAATCCTACTTAATCAAGTCTATTCTTACTTAATCAGGTAAACCTATAAAGGTCAAAGATCATCCTTACTAATTCAGGTAACCATTCCAAATGAGGCAAACAGCACAATTCCTTAATGAATTGAATATACAATAACCAATCTAAAAAGTAAACCAAACTCAAATTTAAATTAGCCAAAAAAAAATCATAAAAAAATGAAAGTAATTAAAAACTAACCTGTGTAGTAGGATTGGTGGGACTAGCATCCCACATAACATTTCCAGCTGCTGGACCATCCACATTATTATTATTATTACTAATAAGATTAATATTTGTGTTCAAACCCATAAAAGATGAGAAATTAGCTTCTTCATCTTGCTGTTGTTGTTGCTGCTGACATTGAAATTGGCTTTGAATAAGATTATAATTACTAATACCTTCATCATTATTCGATAATCCTAAGATATAATCATCATTCGCAACCACAGCAGGAACAATAAGATTGTTATTGTTATTGGTATTATTATTGTTGTTGTTGTCAACATCTTCTTCAGCATCATCGCAAGACGAATCTCGACGACGTCGTTGAAGCAGCAAAAGCTGCATAATCAGCGCCTGTTGTTTCTTCGTATTAGAAGAATTCTTGATTAAGCCATCAACAAACCCTAAATCATGATTAGCATTATTATCATCAAACCCCCATGGAAAAGTCGGCCCCACATTGAGGTGGTTGTTGTGATGAGCTGGCACCATCAAATCCGACCATGGATCGTGAGTGACGTCACCCCCGTCGATGAAGAAAGCGAACAGATCATCATCATCTTCAACAACTGACTTCTTGTTGTTGTTGTTGTTGTTGTTGTTGTTGAGTTGTTTGTTAGTGTTGGAGATATCGAAGCCGAGGAAAGAAGAGAGGTCGGAGGCGGTTGGACAGCCGGAGAAGGCGTCGGTAGCGGCGGAGCGGTCGTGGTTGGCGGTGGATTGGTGGAGATCCCAGTCGCAATCCTGACAAAAGCAAAGGTTGTTGTGGGTGAAACATTTGACGGTAGCGGGTTGGGACCCACAACCGTCGCAAAGGAGGTTACGGACGTGTTTCTTAGAAAGAGTGTTGGCCGAGTGAACATGTTGGTCACATAATAAGCAAAGCTTGGCGGAGTCGGCGCGACAGTATAGAACTGCTGCTTGTTGGTTACAAAAATCACACAACTTATTATCACTACTATTATTATTATTACTTTTATTATCGTGGTTATAATTTGAAACATGATTTTGAGTTTGAGTTTGATTTTGAGTAGTTTTTGTATTTGTATCTACATTTAATATCTCCTCTTCTCCCACTAATCTTATTTTTAATGATGATCTCATTTTTATTTATTTTTAAGGGAGAGTTTGAAGAAATTTGGGTATGAAGAAGAGTAGGGAATATGAATGGAAGGGTGGGTTTTGTGGGAGGAGAGAAAAGGAGAGGGGATGGGAAAAAGGAAACGGGGGATAAATAAGAGAATTTTGAGGGAACCAAAATTAAAAAACAAAAAGTGAAGGGAAAAGAGTAAGTATCTAGTCTAGAAATAAATATCTAAAAATTTAAGTTTCTTACCTGTTTTTTTACAAAATGCAAATATTCCTTTCTTTGCGTATAAAAGCTTACCCTTTTTAAGGCTGAGGTGGATCATCGACTATGGATTGTGTTGTTATGTCAATGTCATACTATATAGTCATATGCCATTCCCATTCTATTGTGTGCTATATTCTCTTACACATAGGCCATGTTTGATAATTGGTTTTTTAATGGTTTTTTGGTTAGCTTTTGGCTTTTTAAGGTGGTCAAACAGTCAAAAAATGTGTTTGGTAATTGGCTTTTTAGTCAGCGAAAAAGCTGGCTTTTAAGCCAAAATGAAAAAGTTGTTTGAGTAGCTTTTTTGTTGGCCTTTGGCTTGTTGGCCCACAAATTATCTAACAAACAACCAACAATTAATTTACCAAACACTTTTATAAACAGCTAGCTTAAACAGCCAATTTCAAAAACCATTATAAACACCCTAACATTCCAGCTAGTCAAACAAGCCAAGTGAACCAGCCAACAACCATTTGCTAAGCAAGGCCATACATTGATACATATGTTGTACATGTTTGTTTATACTCTATTGGGAGGATCGGGAGAGGTTTATGCTATAAAAATAACGGTTTTTATTATGCATCAAGTAAATTGTGATTTCATACATGCATATAAATAAACAAAACTAATTGTGAGTTTGAATATACGGAGTATTATGTATGACATACTTGAATAGTTGGGTGCGTAGCAGATACCATGCTTAATATTTTTCTTGTTTCTTTAAATTTAAAACGTGAATTTTATGTTTGTTAATTTCATAACATTGATTATCAATACTCTTTTTCTTTCATTATATTTGTCTTTCTTGGAATATTTCATTTGAAGAGAAAAACTTATTAGCTTATATTATCGAAAAAATGGGTGAGTCGGACTCACAGTGAGTCCTATATATCTGACATTAATAATCTATCTAACATCAGATTATTAGATTATCAATGTCAGATATTAGATTATTAATGTCAAATATATTGGACTCACAGTGAGTCTGGTCTCACACAAAAGTTTCTCTTATATTATTCATTTATGTATTATCTTGTTTTATGTGTTTTAGTACATTTGTTTTTAAGAAAAATCATAATTCTAGTTATATGTAATTGAAGATATGTTGCTCATTAAAAGATGCATTGAACATGATGAATTTATAAATATTCATCAATTACTTATTTACTTATGTTTACTTTGATGAGACATGATAACAATTAGTACATGAACATTGTCTTTATATATGTATAAGCTGAGCAATTAGTACATAAACATTGTAAAAGACAAACTTGAGGAACTGACAATTTTATGTCGTTGTTGTACACTATGTATTATGTAATGTACTTTCACATGTTTTTTTTTCTTTTTTTGCAAGGTTTATTCTTAATTAAGAAGAATCAGGATGACTGACTCAACTTAAATACGTAGTAGAAGTTGTTGGTTGTGTATATAGTACTTCCTATATACATATACTTCCTCTGCTCTATTAATATTGCAACAAGGAGGAAATTACGCATCTTAAAACACATTTTATATGCTAAATATCTATAATTGTGTAAGAGTAAAAATTATAAAAAGTTGATATTGTGAAAGTATTTTATGAGACGAATCCAATAAGATCTCACTTGACTATATTTTGCTTAACGTATAACTCGTATTATATGGTCAAACAAGAGTGATGAATAGTGCAAAAAGTCCATTATTGCAATATTAATAGAACGGAGGAAGTATATAGGATAGTATGATAACAATTTGTTTAATATAATTAGTCCTCTGCTCCTCTGTATCCAAATTTATTACATTACTTTAGTTTGTGTATACATTTTCTACAGAATTAAAAGGTATAAAGTGCATATTATATACCGACTAAAATAGAAAGGAAAGGTGTTATAATGATGTGAGAGGCAAATAATATAAAGGAGGATTATAATTGTCCATAAGCTAGAGATTCATCTATATATCATACCAAGTATATAATTTTTTTGTTGTGTCAATTTCACAAGGCAACAATGATTAAATAGCAGGAGAAATATTTTGTTCAACTTATAGTTACATACTTCCACCGTTTTTAATAGTTGCAACACACACTTTTTCACGATAGTTAAAAAATGTAGGATTCACAATTCACAACGGAGTATAAAACACTTTAAAATGAAGTGAGTGGATGTTAGAAGTGTAATTTAGTGGGTCATGTGTTTTAAATAATTATAAGGGAAATAATACACATTTTCTCTAATATAACTTTCCATTTATTGTGTGTTGTAACTTGTAAGTATTGTGATATTTTTATTTAAGAAAAATGTTGCAAATATTAAAAAAACGGAGGAAGTATATAAAATGATATGGAGTGGTATTTTTACTAATCTAGCAAAATTATCAATGTCAAGTAGTTTTTTAAAAAGTGATACTTTTATCTACTGTATTTATAAAAATTTGAACACAATTCCTTCATTCACATTAGTACATTTCATTTGTTCAAAAAAAAAAAAAATACATTTCATTGATAATGGATATCATTGATAAGTGATAATAATAGTACTACATCAATTGTACTCTGTACCCTTTTTTTTGCCCCTAAGCCAGCTAAATAACTAGAAATAATTATCAACTTGACATTAAGTGATCCTAATACTGAGGAATATTGGTTGTACTATTCTTTCACTCACACTAATTAATTCCAAATTCTTGAGCAAATGATCTGATCCTAGTTTTTAGTCTGTGTAATCTTCTTCAGCTAGCTATTCACTTGCTTTTATTTTTCCTAATTTTAGAGATGATAATTTGACTAAATTTTCCCTTTTAATTGATATGTAGTTGAATGTGTAAATTTTTGAATTAAATATTAGAATTTATGATTATCAATAATTTTAATAAGAGCTTAAATAATGTAATATATATATACATATTCATTCTTTATATATTGCAACAGTTTTCTTTAGGAGAGTTTTACATTCATATAATCATATTCATTGCAAACAATTCTCTAATATCGATCATTTCTTCTCTTTTCAAATTCTTAACAATAGAGTATACGGATAACCACATGGATAAGATTGATCCATTATGTTTTCTTCCACCTTAGTGTCGAACACCAATTACAAAGTATCACAATAGATAATGTTTCGGGTGAAAACAATGGGACCTTGCCGAAGGTCCGCTGAAACGGAGAAGACTAGATTCGGTCCAAGTAATGTTGGGCCGAAGGTTTCCTGCACAGTAAACACACGTAAACTAGCCTCGGGGGTGTTGCCGAGGAAGGCCCCTCCGATGCTGAAGTCAGTACAATGTGTAGAAAGAGAACACTATGCAAGAGAATTTGTTGCTTGAGGCTTTGCTTGAATTAATGAGAATATATCAGAATCTATGAGAATGTATGAGAATGTAATATTGATGGCTTTTATACCTCTTCATACATGGAGAAGTTGGGCCTTAGCCCAATTGGCTTGCCTTGAGGGCTGATCTTTGACTTTAGCACAATTGGAGAGATGAACCTTGACCTTGGGCTTTTAATTGGATCATTTAATGCCTAAGCCCAATTGGACTAAATTGGACCCAAACAACTTGCCCCCCAGACCCGATTTGGAAGGATGACGGGTCGGGTTTGATTTAACCAAAAAAGGAGGGAAATGAATGATTTAATTAATCCAAAAATTTGAATTTAAACCGTAATCAATGAGATAACAACGGTTAAGGCGGATGATTGTGGAAGTTGGACGGATAATGGGCAGTTTAATCGCAAGGTCGTGTGTTTAACGGTTACTTAGTGGGGTATTTAAGAGAAATTGAAACGCGGACTCCCCGTATTCCCATTTCTGGAGATATAATCAGAGGCGCGTCATCTCTCCTCACTTATTCACCAACACAAACCCAGAATTCTCGAGAGAACCCAAGAACCCGCATCAAAACTTCGCAAATTCCCCGAGCATTAAGCTTAGAAACTGAGACTTGCCACTACGAACTCGTAAATCGGCAACTTTCGCTTCAGATTAAGGTAAATTCCTTTGATTTCAGTTTATTTTTCTTCGAATTCGAACTCCTTCCCTCTTTTTTCGAATTTTTTCTTCGAAATCATCAATGGCAAGAGGAGTTAGAGGTAGAGCCCGTGCTCCAAGAAGAGCAAGGCCAATTCCCGATCCTAGGAACAGGATTAGGACCTGGAATGGACAAAGAGCAGAGTCTGACCCTGCTGAAGGGATTAGGGCGACTCCAATTTCCTCGGCTCCTCCTCAGAGAACGGAGGGGCCGAGCGCTTCTGGACGGGACGATGAAGTTCCCGCTGTCCTTTGGGATATCCTCCCCGGGTTTTCAGAGTGGGAGAATGCCGAAGTAGCTTCGGCCATGATAAAGAACCGCCCCTACTCATGGTGGGTGGAGAATGCCGAACAATATCGGTTTTCCGAGCAAATTGAGTTGCATTACGGCATTTTTGAAGCTGATGGGTATTGGTGCCGAATGCCCGTGGCATCCGATAGAATCCATCGTCCACCCCCGGGGTATGTGGGGGTGTACACAAGACAGCTTCAGTATGGGCTGAGGTTCCCTTTGGACGTATTCGTCCGAGACTTGCTGATCCATTACAATATCTCCCTATGTCAGCTAACTCCCACCAACATCCGAAGGGTGATGACATACTTATGGGTCTGCAAGTTCTTCTAGTATGTGCCGAACCTGCACTGCTTCAAAAAGCTTCATCGGCTAGTGCCAAATATTCAAAATGGGCACGGAAGCCATGGTTCTGGGTGGTACCGGATTGAGTCTCGGCCCCAGTACCTAACCATGTGGCCGAACGACTCTTCAGACAAGGACTGGAGAGGTCAATGGATTTGGGTTAGGGCACCCACGGACCCGAGCCACCCTTGCGTCTTCAGCGCTCCCCGGTACCTTGCTGAGCCTGATCCCGACATGGGAAGTCTAGGTCCCCCCGCAGATAACGGGCCAGATCCGAACCTTGATCAACAGAACATCTTCGGCAAGCTGCCGAACCGGGGGGGCAGCGGCCGAATGCAGCATATCCCGGAGACTTGGCTCCCCGATACGCATTATGTTTTCCAAGAGAACATGCTAGCATCTGTTGGCCTCAGCCGAAAGTTTAAGGATGGTAAGCTTC